TGGATTTGGCTAAACACTGGTCTATTGGCCTCGAGTCAACAGGCACCTTGTCCCGACCAGGTGGTGATCCGCAGGCGCCCACTGGTCTACGTGGTGAGCCTGCTGATCCCCAGCATTTTCCTGATGCTGGTGGACCTGGGGAGCTTCTACCTGCCTCTCAACTGCCGTGCGAGGATTGTGTTCAAGACCAGCGTGCTGGTGGGCTACACCGTCTTCAGGGTCAACATGTCTAATGAGGTGCCGAGGAGCTCAGGGAGCACTCCTCTGATTGGTAAGCAGCCTCAGGGTCATCGGGCACCCACCGTGCATTACTCCTGCCCAAGACCCGATGTGGCATTTTGGGGTGGAGGAGGAAGAGGCCCAGAGGCTTTGCTAACTCCACCTTCTCTGCTGTGGTTCCTTCTCAGGGGTCTTCTTCACAGTCTGCATGGCCTTCTTGGTTCTCAGCTTATCCAAGTCTATCCTGGTGGTCAGATTCCTTCATGATGAGCGGCACAGTGGGCGGGAACGGCCTCTCTTGTGCCTTCATGGGGACGCCAAAGCTGACCGGCCTGGAATGGATCCCAGGGCTCAGCGTGATGGGGTCACAGGTTTGTGAGAAGTCTTGGGGTCCCTACCCCATCTCGCTTTATCACCGTTGGCACCAGCTCCCATGAGTGAAGCACCAGGCCTCATGATGGACTGTGAAAACTCTAAACCCCCTCCTCCTGGCCTTGGTGAGGCATTTTATGGGACTTCTATGGGAGCTGAAGGCCACCTTCTGCTGGCTTTTCAGAAAGCCTCATTTTAGCTTGAAGCCCTCAGTCACTCTGAACTTGTTTGATTTTATAATTGCATCCAATTAATAAAGTGACAGAGCCCCTGAATCTGTAGAATAGTAGGGTTCTAGCATGCATGCACACACACACACACACACACACACACACACACACACACACACAGTTTGTATATATTTTGGTTCTAGTTATTAAAAAGCATGAGATTCACCCCAGCATCCCTAAAGCAGCAACCTTGTGCTGGCCAGTAGCTCAGAAAATGACCCAGACAGATCTAGCCTAGGCACACTCCCACACTCTGCACAGCCCTGCCATGCCTCGAGACCTCTGTCTGCACAGCCTGGCCTCCCCCAAGCAGGAAGGGAGAGTCCCCGACCCATACCCAACCCACTGCCCAGTGTTTTTCACTCTTGTCCTGAAAGGATAAAGCCATGATCTTTCCAGAAAAGTCCATGAGGGGCTCTGGCTCACTTCAGACGTTTTTCTCTGTCACACAGAGTCCCCAACCTATCAAGAGCACCAGGCCCAGCCAGGGAGCTTGAAGGAAATCTGGTTCCAGCTTCGATCTATCAACAACCACCTCCGAAGTCAGGACCAGATAAACCAACAGGAGGCTGAGTGGCTGGGCCTCCTGTACCGCTTTTACTCTTCCGAAGCTACCTCGTCATGCTGGGGATCTATACGGTCACTCTGTGCTCCCTCTGGGTGCTGTGGAGTGGCTTCTGAAGGCTGAAATTTGCCAGTCTCATTCAACGTACTGTGGAAGCACTTAGAGAAAGTTGAATATTTAGTAGAGAAATTGGAGCGGGGGAACAGTGGGTTAAAAACGCTTTTCGTCCTTGTAGCATTGTCCTTTCCATTGAGTCCAGGTACGCACGCCTAATGGGCCACTGAAGGACCTGGGAATATGCATTCATGATGAGATGGTGTCGACAGCATGAACTGTACAGTAGAAACCCTTCCTCCTTCTCTCCGCTCTCTTCCCAAAATGAACCACTGGTAGCAATCTCTTTCTGGAATTTTCTAGAGATACGCATGCACACATGTATAGCGAAACAGTTGTCTAACAGGTGTGAGATCACTCCATCTCCCAGGCCCGCCTCGTGGGATGAATGGCTGGAAAACGAATGGCTTGTCTAGTCATTCGTTCAGCAGAACCAGCCTCTGCTTCTACCCTGCGTTGCCAATGTATATGTCGGCTCAGTCTCAGAGCCCTGCTTGAAGCTGCCTTCTTCTCCCACCTTTTCACCTGATCACCCCAACTGTTTCCCTTGAGTTTTACCTCATCTTACCTTATATCCTTTTCCTTTTTAATGTTTTGTGGTCTCGTGTGCGTGCATGTGCGTGCACAAGATCTGTCAAACAACCACAGGTTCCTAGACGAGTAGGCCTGGTTTCTCTTTCTGCCTGCTCCTCATCTGCCCAGGCCCAAGCACCCTGCAGAGCTCTGCACATGGTGAACCTGCCGTAACGACTGCGGAGCAGCTCATTCTAGTCTCTGCTGATGGTGGGCACCTATCTAGAGTGGGTTCCCAAGTCTGGGGCCCAAAATCTACCCAAGTCGTAAACCTGGTCCCCGGGCATCCTTCCAGCCCTCACCAAGGGCAGCTGTCACACTGAGCTGCCTGAGAGTCATCAGCCCTAATGCTGCCGGCAGAGGACACCCTGAAGTCCAAAGCTGTTTGCTAGGAACTTTTTTTTTCCCAGCACTGAAATTGCCTTAAAAAATGCTGCCCCCCTCAGCCCCCCCAAAGAGAAAGAATTTAAATTCAAACAGCCTTTACCTGCATCCTCTGTCTCTCACTACCTCCCAGTCAGTGCTCAGTGCCAATTGTCCATGAAATCCCACTGCCGCTGGTAATGAAATGAGGAACACAGAAGTTTGTGAACAGGAAGTGTCCGTGCAAACCTCCACCTGTTTCCCACCTTGCTTCCCATTTTGTGCTCCTGGCCTCTGCCGCAGCCTGCTCAGTTAGTTTCCACATTGTTTCTTGCTTTCTTCCCGTCCACCTCCAGTTAACAGAGGAGGAAGGGGCCGGCAGGTGGCATGGTGGCTAAGGGTGCTGGACTGCCACATGTCTGACTGTGGTTTGAGACCCGGGTCTCACAGCTTGCTTTCTCACATTCCCTCTCTCTCTCTCTCTCTCACTGTCCCTCTCTGGTCAAATTAAAATAAATAAGTAAATAAATAAATAAAATAATTCTTCTTAAAAAAATAGTAGAGGAAAAGACCTCATTCCTGTGAGGTCTCCCTCCTTCGTAGGCATATCTCAGAGGAAGCGCCGGATTGAGCCAGGAGACCAGCTTTGCTCTCGACTCCCCATCAATTTCCAGCCAGTACATCTTGAGCTGAACTTTAGACTTCGGTTTATCTCATTGGAACTGGGATCTGTTTGGACTTATTCTACTCATATCACAGAGTTATGTGGGTCAGTACGAAGTAACGTATCAATAGCACTTTGAAAAGTAAATATGTCGCCAAATAAAGATGAGAGCTGCCCGCTATCAACAGATGGGATCATCATGAGCCCTGGGTGTGGGGTCCCAGGGCAGCTACCTCTGTCAGAGTCCAGTCACGGGTTCTGGTTCTTTATTACAGCATCTCGATTACAGGACCCTCAGGTCAAGGACTATCACGTGCTTCCTTCCGGGGGACTGGGGTGGGGAGGCTGCCAAAGGGACGTCTCATTCCCCTTCCCATGCAGGTCACGTACGCCCCATGCCCAAGTTCTTCACGTCAGCCTTGAAGGAGCAGGGCTTTTTTTTTTTCCTTTCTTTCTTTTTTTGGAGAGGTTTTTGCTATAGGGCACGTGTGCTCACCAGAAAAGCAGAAAGAGACAGAGAGATAGAAAGCGAGAAATCACCTCCCAGGGGGGATGGCCATGCCATCCTGGTTCCCAAGGAGCAGGGCTTTAAAAGTGAAGTGGGGGCCAGCAGCTGGCATAATGGCTATGTCGCTGGACTCTCATGTAGTCAACCGCGGTTCGAGTTGGGACCAGGTGGCTTAAACTCATGCCAGGCGCATGTGCATACGTGCCCAAGATCCTGAAGGGAATGGAGAATAAGGGACTGTGGCGTGGCCATTCCCCCCGGGGGGGGTGATTTCTTGCTTTCTGTCTCTCTGTCTCCTTTCTGTCTTTCTGGCGAGCGCATGCGCCCTATAGCAAAAACCTTTTTGAAAATAAAAATTTAAAAAAAGTGAAGTGGCAGGCCAGCAGGGGACATGATGGTTAAGGCGGCTGGATTCCCACATGGCTGACTACAGTTTGAGTCCCAGACTAGGTGGCTTCAAATTCACCCCAGGTACGTGTGTGTGCATGCCCCAAATCCTGAGAGGAGAACGGAGAAGAAGGGATTGTGGTGTGGCCATCCCCCCTGGAGGGTGATTTCTCACTTTCCCTCTCAGTCTCCCTCCTCTCTGGGGAGTGCACATGCCCTATGGCAAAAATCTAGGGGAAAAAAAAGGAAAAAGTGAAGTTGGGGATCAGCAGGTAGCGTGGAGGTTAAGGTGGCTGGATTCCATGTGGCCAACTGGATAGTTCAAGTCCCAGACCTGGAGGCTTGAAAAATCACATTGAGTGTATGTGTGCCCAAAATCCTGAGAGGAGAATGGAGAAGGGATGGCATCATAGCCATCCCCTCACCTCAATTTCTATCTCTTTCTGGCAAGTGCACATACCCTATAACAAAACTTTTTAAAAAGTGAATCCAGGGGTCGGCAGGTGGCATGGTAGTTAAAGGCACTGTATTCCCACATGCTGACTGCGGTTTGAGTCCTGGACCTGGCGGCTTGCTTTCTCGCTTTCCCTTTATCTCTCTCTCTCTGGTCAAATTTTTAAAATAATTTTTAAAATGGAATTAAATAAATAAATAATAATTCTTTATTTTTTTTAAAAAGTGAAGCCAGACCACTAAGTGGGGCTCCAATGTGGACTTTCTCTGCCTAGAACTCGTTCTAAGCCCCAGCGATGCACTACAGACCACCTCCTGGAATACAGCACCCCCCCCCCGGCGGGGGGATCTGGGGTGCCTCAGCTCTGATTTACAGGGCAACTTCAGACTAGCCCTTCCAAATGTTTATACAGTTCACAGAGAAAGTACCCGAGGAATAGAGCAAAATCGGGACTCTCCCAGCCACGGATGCCCCTGCCATCTGCTGTTCCCCAGAATCTAAGTTACTTTCAGCACTTACTGAGAACTTGCCGCCCCAGTCCTGGGGGTGTCACTGATTTCTAGAGTAACGAGTTCGTTTTGGCCAACCTGTTACACTGGTGGTTAAGGATGTGGGATCAAACATGGCTGTCCCCACTCAGAATCCAAGCCCTGGCAGCTGGGCACATGTGAGTGCACACCCCAAATCCGGACAGGATGGAGACATAGAGAAGGAATCGTGGCATGACCATGACCCATGAGGAGGACTTCCTGTTCTTTTTTAAAAAAATTGTTAGTGGGCACATGCATTCATGTGAGAGAGACATAGGGGTGCGGGGAGCTGAGAAAGCATCCCCCATGGAGAATGGTTACCCACAATCCCTTCTCTTCATCTCTCCCTCCTGTTGGGATTTTGGGCATGCACACACAAATGCCCAGTGCGCTTGTCAAGCCACCTGGACTGAGACTCAAACCTCATGGTTGGCCGTGTGGGATCCAGCTGCCTTAACCACTACCGTGGCTGGCCCGAGGGTGCTTTCTCCCTCTCTCTCTCCTCTCTCTCTTTGGAGAGCGCATTTTGACAATTAAAAAATAATAATAATAAAGAGTTAGGCCCTGACTAGCCAGCCAACCAGGCGACCCTCGCTCCTCAGTACACCCCACGATAGCTCCGTGAGTGTTACTGCGGTGTCATCAGAGCCTCTCAGCCTTTCGATTGCCAGTGACCCAGCGTGAGGGTCTCCCACCCCTTTCCAACCCACATGGTTGGCCACCACTGCCCCCAGCTCCTGCAGTTGTTTTAGAGTGGGAGGAGCAGTCAGGGTAAAGAAAGCTGCGTCTCCCACCTCTTAAAGCTCTGCAGCACAGCAAGGCTCCCAGGGTCCAGCTTCCAGTCTGGACCTGTCGGAACCAGGAAGCAAACGGAAGAGCAGCCACAGGGGAAGCTGGTGGGAAATGTGCCCCTGGTAGAGCAGGCCTCCTCCCAGTTCAGCCCCAAGGCTCCCCAGATCCTTTCCCTCCTCAGGGACCTAGTTACACATTTACAGGAAAGGCCAGTGGGAGCAAGCGGAGTTTAAAGTTTGCCCTATCAGGCCGGCCCGTGGTGTGGGGACTAAGGGGACTGGATCCCACATGGCCCACTGAGCAGTTCGAGTACTGGACCTGGTGGTCTGAAAAACATTCTGGGTGTGTGCGTGCACCTGCTGCAAATCCCAACAGGGTAGAGATATGGAGAGGAGATTGCGGTGTGACTATTCCCCATAGGAGGTGCTTTTCTCATGTTCCCCCTCTTTCTGTCTCCTCCTGCCAAACCCATACACCCCCTAGGAAAATAAAAATTCCCCTCTGCACTGTGGCTCTAAGGCCTCCTCTAGAGAATGTCAGAGCTTGGGGTTTTATTATTACCTTTTAAGAATTATTTTATTTAACTTTATTTATTTAAACTTGATCAGATCAGAAAGGAACAGAGAGAGAGAAAGAAAGAAAGAGAGAGAGAGAGAAAGGGAAAGTGAGAAAGCAAGCTGCCAGGTCCAGGACTCAAACCACAGTTGGCCATCTGAGAGTCCAGCAGCCCC